ATTTAGTTATCAACATGCATAAAGTTATTATAGAAATAAGCATGCCTAAAATGCACTCAAAAAATTAAAACCCTATCTTGGCTGGAAAGGTGTGTGCCAAATGTGTTCTTGAACTTTGCAAACAAATAAAATCAATCAATCAATCAATATTTTCCAACATTTTTGCGCAAGTACTTTTAGCCAAGGTAGAATGTTACATTTTTTTGTGTGATCACTAACCTGTCCAAGAAGAAATGGTCTAGTAGTATTATGATTACTAACCTGTACAAGAAGAAATGTTTTTTTAGTATTATGATTACTAACCTGTGCTAAAAGAATAGAAGAAATGGTCTAGTTGAATTATGATTACTAACCTGGGTTAGTAACCTTAATACAACTAGACCATTTCTTCCAGTAAAGGTTAGTAATCATAATACAACTAGACTATTTCTTCTTGTACAGGCTAGTAATCATAATTTAATCAGACCATTTCTTCTTGTACAGGCTAGTAATCATATTACAACACAATAAATAAATTGACATACAACATGCAAATTCTGTTGTAAGATGACAAATAGGGTAACGGTAGGCTATTAGCGCGCCGATCAGAGTGGTCAAAAGATTTTTTAACCCAAGAAATGGAATCCTCCTGCCCAATAATACCTTTAAATTGATATATGGTATGTAAACTTATAGTAAGATGACCCATAATGCGACATCTGTCTCCAAAATTAATTTTGACCTTGGAAATGAATGGGACAGGATGTTGGCATACATCAAAAATTGGTCAATATCAATTAATCCAGTGATATATTTAATTAGAGTGCTGTGCAAACAAGTATATCTTTATTGGTGTAGCCCAACCTTGCAGCCATTCAATATATGGTTCGTAGTTCTTGTCTTCTACCTTGCAATTCAGTGCCTGCATGTAAACATAGTTTACATAGATCTGATGCAGATTTTCCCCATTGTAGAAGGTTGGTTTGTGTTGGCAGGATGTTAAAACAGGAGTTGAGTAGAAATTTCGGTGTACCTTTTTTCAGATTGGACATGTAAGATTTCCAGATCATGTCAGATGTTCAAGAATTGCCAGGCAGAGAAAATGTCTTTGTTTTCTGAGTGCTTCTGTATGTTCTCTCCAGAAAGTTTCATTTTCAAAAGATACTTTTTCACAGTCAGTTGTTTTAATTTTTTTATAGCATTGATGTTTGGAAGCTTGGTCATCCCATTCAGGCATTTCTGCTTGACCATAGTTCTCTAATGTGGCTTGTTGAAACATTTTTTCTGCATAGTCTGATAGAATTTTTGAGGAGGCAATTTTTTTCCCCGTCTAATTTAGATTGTAAGGCAGAGTTAACTGTTTCATCACCTAGTATTCTTATCCTAGTGTATGCTTGCATCATAGTTGTTTTGAAAAGGGTGTTTATTTAAGTGATGTCTAGGCCAGGTTTCAAGTGTAGAGCAGCAATTGTTGCACAGGGTGGTAATCTAGTCTATTTTTACACAAATTTATCAGTGATTGTATGAACAGAAATTGAATAGAAGGAATGAAATAATGTTTGTAGAATCAGACTTTATATTCATCCGGAATAAGAAGTGCATTTATATTAATAAAGGAATTTCTGCTCTTCTTGAAATATATTTGGAATTTCAGTTTCACCAATAGTAAAGTTTATTCTGCTAGGTACACCTGATCTGATGGAAAATTATCTACATTTTGCTGATTTTAATCTCATTCCCATACTTTCAATCTTGGATTTTATTTCATTTTGAATTCATTTTGATGTTTTCTCAGATCTGTTGTTATCAGGTAAAAATCGTCAGCATAATGGCAGAGTATTAATTTTCTTTCCATTCATATTAAATCCACAATCATTCTTACTCTTACTGTAGAAATTCAATGACTGGATTGAAAAACCATATGATGGGACTAAGTGGGTCACCTTTAAATTCTTCTCTTATAAAGGGAAACCAATCAGTAGAGAAGTTATCTGTAAATACACAAAAAAGTTGATTATTATACAGGGTGCTGATTTAAAGCTGAATTTCTACAGGAACATAAAACTTTTTGAGGGTATGTAAGATGAGAGGGTGCGGCACTGAACCAAATGCATCTTCTAAATTGAAAAATGTTACATGGACCGTTTTCTTTGTTTGTCTTTGCTTGGCTTATAATCTCTTCAAGGATGACATTATGCTCAATAGCGCCATTAATGCCTGGGAGAAAGGTCTTCTGTACTTTTTCATCAATATAATTATTCACTGTTCAAAACTTGGTTAGTCTTTTTGCAAGAAGGAGATGGTAAGTTTTTGCAATTAAAGACTTAAGAGAGATAATGCGAAAATTTCCTGGGTCATTTGTTGGTCCTTTCTTGTGTAGTTATTTGACCACACTGACCAGGAAGGGGGAGGAAATCCCAGTTCATTCACTTCATTATACAGGATGGCTAACATGTGGTGAAGACAATTGAATTTGAATAATAAGTAATACAGGATACCATCAGGGTCTGGAGAGGATTTTAGATTTGCACTTTTTAATATATTCTTTACATCCTTTGAGCGTAGGGGCTCACAATTGAATGGTTCAAAATTTGGAGCTTCATGGGTTACTTTTAGAAAGGGGAACCAGTTTTAACTGTTCAGGTCTGTGTTATCGGGTTTGCTGTATTTTTCCGAGTAGCAGCTGTTTGAAAATCCTAGATCAAAGGTTGAATTCTATATCTTCTGTACTGATGATCCCATGACAGCTTGTTTAGAAAAATCCCAACAGTTTTTGTGAAGTATTTATACCTGAGCTGGGAACTTTAGAATGGTGGATATCGAGATTATTGCTTAATCCTCTCTTTTTGCTATCTCAAGACTAACATAATCTCGAGATTATGTTAGTCTCGAGATTAAATATTTTGATCAACAAATTTGTTTCTATGATTGCCAGATTTGTTCGTTTCCTTGATTGGAAGGGCCTTCACTTAATTAATCACCCATTAATTTACTTAACCGCTTCATTTTCAAAATGGCCGACAACTTATTCTTTATTTGTTAGAAATTGCAGATTTCTCTCATGGGATAGAATTTATTTTCAAGGCTTTCATTGGTCAATACAATTTACGAACTATATTCCTGCACTCTCATTGGAGAAAACAATGTACAGATATCCAAAGAGAGAGAAAAAGAGAAGATTAAGGACTAAAATTAAAAGTTTCCACAGTGGATATTTGGATTAAGTAGTTGGGATTAAAGGTTACTCATTCTAAAGTACCCAGCTCTGGTGTGTGGTAGTATTCAAAAGGAGTCTTTTTTCAACTTTTCTACCCTCACTAATTGCTGTCAGACAGAAATGGAACTTTTTTTCTGTCCTCATCAGTGCCAGCTCTGGAAAAGGCTTCCTTTCTCAAAACTTTGTTTAGATGTTGGAGTTCTGTGAGGTTATTATTAGGATGGGAATAAGACATATCTACAACTAACTTAATTTTAAAACATTGCATGCAGTGTTTCATTAAGGTGAACCCTGAAATGGCTCGTGGTTTGAAAGCATGTTTCTGCTCTAGAGTAAAAGATCTCAGAATTATTTTTCTAACTTTTTTTAGCAATTTATTTTAAATTATATCTTTCTTTTCCTAAATCTAAACAGTGAATTTTTTCCTCTGACTGTCATATCTTCTTTTTAGCTGATCATACAACCTGTTCTCTGTTCCTCTCTTTTAGATCTACATATTCTAATCCCTTGTAGACAAGGGCAAAATGCACTTTGTCACATATTTCTGATTTATTATCTCCCTCATAATGTAGTATATAAGCAGATATCAAATGGATTTGAAATTTTCAGTTTTATTGCTTATCCAGGAATGTCTGACTAAACAACTAAGGCCTTCAAACACATATTCCTCAATATTAGATGTGAAATGGAGATATTTTCTTACAAGTTCGAAAAATAGAATAAAAATAAGCAGTGTTTTGAAATCTGAGGATATCCATTGTCAAAATTCCACCTTCATAATGATAAATAGGATAGTAAAATTCTTGATTCTTGAAAGTTCATCTCTGACAGTGCTTCAGAATACAACCTTGTCTACAACTATCTTTTTGTTTCAGCCTGCAGAATATTAACCAGTATCATAGTTAATAGAGCAAAACCTATCAGGATTCTACTTTAAATAAATCCATATTTTTTGATACTGGCAAGAGTGAGGGAGAAGAGAGAAAGAGATAGAGAGAGACCCCTCTTACTTAGCACTATTATTTTCTTCTTTTTTCAAGTAGGGTGTACTGCAATGTTATTCCACAAGGTTCTGTTCAGCCACAGGAAACTGGAGAGAGTTTTATATAAACCTGACTGTTCTAAACTCACTTGATGCTTACAAATAGAACCAGATTCAATCTAAAGAATTAACATCTTTCTGACAAGTTTGGATACTTAATAAAAGCTTATTAGTCTTTTTTTTTAGAGGTATAATCAAAGCTTCCATTAGCAAAATCTGGATCCAGCTAGGTAAAAAACCTCCATTCTCCAGGTTAATACAGTGTTAAAAGATTAATGCAGGCCTTCATTGTTTCTATTTGTTTTGTTTTTTTCTTTTCCATTTGTGTGCAGGGGTTTACCCCCACCCAATATACATCCCCTGGCTAAAGTTTCTCTAGTTTGTCATCTTTCTCTCACCCTGTATCCCTGAATACTACTGTTAAAAGCCCATATACATCCCCTGGCTAAAGTTTCTCTAGTTTGTCATCTTCTCTCTCTCACCCTTTATCTCTGAATACTGTTAGAAGCGTCTATTAAGAACCAGATGTTACTTCTCTGAAAGCTGAATGTTTACTGAAAGATCTCAGAGTTTATACATACAGTTGCAATGTATGTAATTATTTAAAAAAAATTATGTTCATCATATTGAAAAGAACTCTTTTCATGAGTAAATTTAAGATCTGCAGCTTTAAAAAGAATAAAAAATTTATGGGTTACTTACACAATTTCTGATCTCAAATAACTAATAAACTTTGTACATCTGCTTATACTTGTGATTTACCTTTGACACCCAAACAGTGTACTCATCTTCTATAGGAAATGTAAAGGAAACAAAGGATTCTCTGAAAAATTTTAATGTCAATTGCTGAATCAAAAAGCTAACATTTGCCATTCCACTTAATTTCTATTGCATGTAATTGTGAAAACAGCTTGTGATCAAAAAGTTCCATTTTATTGCAAGGTATTGCACTTCTTGGATATTTAAAAATGATAAGGTATTTTCAGAAATTCTATAAGGGAATAGATGAAATTAGTGAAGCAATGAATTCAATTCTTTTAAAATCAAGCTTTTAAATACCTTTGCCAAGTATACGCAATATAACAAACACCCAGATCCAACCCATAGCCAACCTATAAATACTATTTTAAGTCTAAAATTCTCACTTTCATCTAAATTCTACTACCATTCCAACCACTCCATTCCATTTTCCAGTTTTTTCTTCTAATGCTCCCCAGGAATCATTTGCATAAATGAAGCTGGCCTTGAGCTTGTATTTTTCTATAATAATTAACAGTGTTTATAACAATAGATATTAGAATCAGTGCTCAATTCAGTAGTTAAATAGTAGTTAATAAAATTTACAGTGTTTTATATAATAGTTATTAGGATCACTGCTCAGTTCAGTTATTAAAATAGTAGACAATAAAATTTTGCTAATGGTGGATTTCAAAGTTTACTACAGTCAACAAGAATGGGTTCACACCTTTTCTAGTGGTAGATGTCAAAGTCTACTCAGTTAAGGAGTATGGGTTCAAGCCCTTTGCTAATGGTAGATGTCAAAGTCTACTACAGTAAACAAGAATGGGTTCACACCTTTGCTAATGGTAGATGTCAAAGTCTACTGCAGTCAACAAGAATGGGTTCACACCCTTTGCTAATGGTGGATGTTAAAGTCTACTACAGTCTACAAGAATGAGTTCACACCCTTTGCTAATGGTAGACGTCAAAGTCTACTACAGTCAACAAGTATGGGTTCACACACTTTCTTAATGATGGATGTCAAAGTCAACTAAAATCAATGAGTATGGGTTCACACCCTTTGCTAATGGTAGATGTCACAGTCTACTACAGTCAACTAGTATGGGTTCACACAATTTGCTAATGACAGATTTCAAAGTCTACTACAGTAAACGAGAATTCATTGCCTTTTGCTAAATTAATATGTATTTATAACTTCAATGAATGCATTCTGAAAATGTTTTGATTATTTGAGTGCTGACTAATTATATACTTGTAAATCCACAATGAATGCGTATTTAGGTGAGATTTCAATATGTATTGTTTGTTTCAACAAATTTCGATCAGAACAAAATTATCAAACATTAAATTTTCAGTTGGCTCATGATAAATTTTCTTTCATGTTTCATTTTATGCTGAGCCATCATACATTTTATTTTGAATTTTGAAATAAATACTATATATCATGGTTCATGGCTAAGGTTTCCAATTAAAACTCCATTGTATGGCATTGCGCTGAATGAAATTTTAAACTTTGATTTACAGACCTATAAATGATTGAAGAATGTATCCTTCATAGGTTGAAACATCAATCTGTTTGTTTGAATAAACAAACTTTGGATCCCATATATTGTATCCAATCCTAGGTGTAGCAGAACTTGCATATTCAGCTGCTTCAGTATTTTTTTTTAACAGATAAATACTGGTAAAGCTACATGTTTTTTGCATGCACAATCTATGAATGTCCAGTCTAGTTTAATAAAACTAGATATTTTTTATTGTCCAGGAAGCAACTATATTGATTAAAAAAAGAATATGTATCATGGTGTGCATATATTTATAAATAAAGACATGAATTCTAAAAAAACCAAATGGTTTTTAGAACAGAAAAGATTTTGTAGGTTTCTCCTATGATTTTTAAAACAATAATAAAGAAAGAGTAAAATTTTATAATTAACTGTATGAGGTCAATTTCATCTCATTCAAATAAACCTGATGTCTTGATTATAGATAGAATCTAGTTTATCTATATCACTATCTCTGTTGAAAACAACAGCTGATGAGAGGGCTGACCACACACCCTGAAACTTCTGTAGATGCATGTCCCTAAAATTTGATTTACCTTTAGGGAAAATTTTTAATTAGTTTAAAGTGTTTGTTTTACAATGGGACTGGGGGCCTTCAGCCTGATAATTTCTTCCTCATCTGTATCTTTCAATTGTGATTCAATTCTTGTTTCGCTCACTTCTACGCTTTGTGTCAATGCTTGAGAATGGTTTTATCCATTTGTTAATAGTTAACCGTAGTTGATCGCTAACGATCAAGTTAGCGATGGTTATGTTAATGCTAAAATTGATCAAATTTTCTAACTCCTATATTTTTGCATCCTGATATTGTTAACCTTTGATATTACAAAATTAGACTTTGTATAGTTTGAAAAATTAAAAGTCTACAACAAGGTTAACAATTCTAGAGCCTTTTGTTAACCCCTTTAAATTTTTTTCTATGTTCAATTATTTAAAGATTGTTACAATATTTCTAGCATTTATTTGCATTTATAAATTTAACAGAAGTATGGCATTATTCATGAGAATTCCTGTTTGTTCTGTAAAAGAACGTACCTTCTCCGTTAAGGATGCCCACCGCTAAGTTTGATAATTTTTTCTATTTAAGGAACTTTTCACAATCTGTTGAAAGATTACCGAATTTTTATAATGCCAGCAGGCTATTTAGGCCAAATATTTTTATATCTTTATTGTGATCTCTCAATATAACATTTAAAAGTAAAGAAAAAAATATATTATAATATTGATCGTAAGCGCTTTCTTGTAATATAATTTGAAAAATATCTTACCAGTATTTTATTGCTATTGAGCATTTTAAAATCACCACAATACGAGACATTCCTGGTTTAATTTGAACTACTAAATTTTATTAATAGAGCTGTTCTTATTTAATTTTTTGTATGTAGTTCTTGGAAAAAAGAGTTTCTAATTATGATAGTTGTAAAAACCCCTTTCAGTTTAGTCATGAAAAAAATTGACACTTGAATCAAAATAAAAACCTAGCTACTCTGTGCAAGGTTATCATGAACCATTTATAGATCCCAAGTAGCAGATTGTTGAAGATTCAAAGTATGAAGGGCACACACTTTTATCTTTTATTTTTTGGCTGTAGCTAGGGCTGGGTTTGTTCCTCCTTTTCATAATTAATTTTTTCCTTTCCAGTCCATTTTTTGCAATCCTTTGTCCTTTGAAAGAATAAGGGTGTTCCTACTCTTAAATTAATCATTCTGTTCTATTCTAAATGTTTTCATAAAAGATTGATTGTTCTCCTTAACCCTATCCCTGCTGGGGTACTTGAAAACCAGGATATGTGGGGGGGGGTTAATTTGACCCCCCCTCTAAATCCCATGTTTGATGTCCAAATATGACAAATGATACATCATTGGAAAGCTCATGTGCTCTACTTTTAGAATCTGCAAAAAAATTAGCAAATTTGCAAAAATTGAATTTTTTATCGCAAAATCCAGTTATATAGTAAAAATGTTTGCAAAAAAAAATTGTCCAAAAAATGAAAAATTTTACATTTTTGAAAAGCCCTTGACCATGCCATTTCAAATATGCAAAAATTTT